TTAGGGACGGACCATTAGAAAACTTATGGAGGGGGGCGGGCGAAGTACAAAAAAAATATTCGCTTCACGCACGCCAATTAATCCTAAAAAATATTCACGCTATGGCCTAAAAAAATTCATACAAGGAATTTGATAACGAAAAAAAAATTCCTGCGGCTCGAAAATTCCCCTCTCCCCCATAACTTTTGTAATGGTCCGTCCATTAAACTCCCTACTACTGCAGCTGACGTCACGGAGACCATGTTGATTGAGAGGAACAAAAGTGTTCCTTTTTTCATGCAAATTCTGCGAAAAAATTTTCTTTTGTTTTGTCAGCCTGACATGGCCGCCTTGTCAGGTGGTGGCAGACCAACAATACAAACCACCCACTGCAAAATAAAGGCGACTCCGTTGATAACGGAGTTAGAACCTTCCCTTAAATGAAAATGTCAGCAGTGAAAAACTTTACCTTTTTCAGTTTTCATGCTTTTTGTTTTATATACAAATTTTCCTTCCATATGTCATCTTTTGTTTCTTTTATTAGCTACTTATTCTACATTTAAATATTTGTTGTTATTTAACGGTTTATTACTTCTGAAGATGTATGTTGGAACATACGAAACGTCAAGTTAAAGTCATTTTTCTTTATAATGTATGTATCATGTTTATCACCACAGTTTGCTTTTTCTTTCTTCTTAACAATACAAAATTATTGCAGTTTTTTGCCTACATATGAAGTAATGTATTTCAAGCCATTTTCAATGTTATGCTAATTTACTTCATTTATTATTATCATTTATTATTCAGAATCCTTGAAATTTGTCCTTGTAAAATCCGGACTCCAGAAAAATTTTGCTTGTGCAATCCGGAATCCCACTATATTCATAATCCAAGTTCCACTTACCAAGACTGGAATCCGGTAATGCAGAATCCAACAAACAAATCGAACAGTTTTGGAGCCTCAAAATCCCTCAAACCTCTCGCGATTCAGTAACCGGTCAGTGTCTGCCAATAACTATATTTATGATGAAGGCCGTTTAACACGGCCGAAATATAGGTGAGAGACGAAAAACATCTTGTTTTACTCTTCACTTGCGGTACTGTACTTATTGAGTTGTGAAGGGAGATGCTTGTGATAGGTTATATGGGTCACAGGTATACCTATTCAACAGGTTCGGGATTTTAAAATTCGTCTTCGGGCCCGAAAAGTTTCCGGGCGTTTCGAGAAATGGGCCCCTGGCCTATGGCCTATGGGTGGTGTCCAGTGCAGCTTTGAACCCCGTCGGGAGCAAATGACGTTTGGAGGAACGTACATAGGCTACGATCACTAACCTGCGTCGCAGACACTTAAAGCTCTTGTTTTTTCTACACGATGCGTGAGCCGGCTGCAACGCAGGCAGCAGTTCCTTTACTTTTTGTGTTTAGTGCCCTTAAAGGGGGGGGGGGGGGGGGGTAGGAGAGGGGGGGACCGTCATCCCAGAAAGTATGAAGACAACGACGGAAAACCGCAGGCAAGAAGGACCAGGTTGGAGAGGAATCCTCGTGATGCGGTCGCCCACAGTGTAGTATGAAAAACAGTAAGGTGGGAGGCACTACATAGGGCGCTAATCACCCCGCGTGGGCGCCACCACTATCGTGTTTTTTTTTTTCCCCGCGGGGGGGGGGCGGGGGCCGCGCGGGGGGGGGTTTTTTTTTTTTTTTTTTTTGTGGCCCCTGAGGGGGGGGGGGGGGGGGAGAGGGAATTCGGGTGCAGCTGAGCCTATCAAAAATTTAGTAACATCCGGTAGATCTGGTCGAAGAAGCCGCCGAAATATTGTTCGAAAAAATCAATACAGGTTGTTATCAGCTTTGCAGTAGTCTTTGGACTTCTCGTTTTCTGTAAATGTACGACTATTATCTCAATGCAAATCCTTTTCGTTCCAAATCTGTTAGCAGGATATCTTTCTTTTTTTTCTGGAATCACCCAACTACCCTCCCCTACCTCAAAAAAACAAATGGCAGGCCCTTAAGATGCTTGCTAAAATTTCATCTTGATACCTTGTAAGGGTGATGATTACATTCTGAAGGCACGCCCATAGACATGCTGGCGCACTTTACCAATTGTTATGTTCTCCCGAACAACCAGTAGCAATTACGACCCTATTTCAATTTTCAAAGCAAAGGCCCCTGACAAAAACCGGCGTTCCTAGCCTTAACGTTTTTGCGCTGGGTCATAAAAAATAAAATAAAAATAGACTTCAGTTGCCTCCATGATCGTTATTACCCCGTTTGTGTATCCTTTGTTGGGTTGTTGTGATCGCCGGGTCTTACCGGATAAAAGAGGACCAGCATGGACCACTGAGTTAATTAGCAAGCTTGTGCGTTTTTTCTTCTGACATTCTCTTGCATTCTTTAACGTGATCTACGGATGAGGATCGGTTGTGTTCTTTTGTGTACTTCTATGGGCTTCCGACTTTGCGCGGATTGCGATGCACAAGAAAGGCAATTTTAGCACGTAAATCGAACAATTTGCCTCCCACAGAGTTACGCGATCCTTGAAGAAGGCCGAAATGAGAGATGGCTTTGATAAATGACTGTATGACGAAAATTTTTAGAATAATTTTCCTTGCATAAGAACCATTTTAGTGGGGTGAGCATGTCAAAATTTGTATAGTACTTGCCCTGAATGGAACCCAGTGCTGCCAAATTTTGGCAGCACGTGGAGACGTTTATTTGTTTACGTAAAATTTATTTCACTATTGTATTCGGTCCTACGGGTCATTTCCTCGCTTACGGCAATGAAAATGTCGTTTATTTTGTCTATATTTAGTTATTGGGCAACAAAACCGGGTGAGTTACTATTAAAATCCACAGGTGTACGGGGTCGCACATTATTAATCCCCCGGTATTCACATTAATTTCAAGTTGTCAAAATCGAATTCGTCAATTCTTTTCACTCAGAAAAATTTTAATATGCGAATTTTCAGAATTTTTTAAAGTACATCAACTTCATGCAAGCAGTATTCAAACCTTTCTTTTCTCTTTTATCTTAAACGACCTGCTGTCGCAAAACAAACAAAAAGTGTAGTTTTCATATTAAAATTAAGTTCATTGGCCTTTTATTCACGGTGCATGCAAGTGCGAAGATTTTCCTGTTTCATTTTCTTGTACAAATCTCGAACTGAAGAATATTAGTTTTGACAGAAGTTAATTTTTCTGCAGGTAAAGTGCTTTAAGAGCAGACAAAGTTCTTCTGGCATGGTTGAAATTTAAAAGGTGTTTTTCTGTCACTTTGTCTTCCGTCGTCGATTAATAATGTAAGTTATCTAATGGAAATAGCAGGTCGAGATCCTTATAATCGTCCATTATTACTGGTGCCTTTTTGAAAAAAACGCAATTTCATACGGGATATCCATAGTGACCTGTCGTAACCGATTATCTTGTCCCATCTCTCCCACGTGCCACAAAACGACCACTCGCCGCTTCTGCCATCACTGCACATGCATTTCAAACACGGCGATTTTTTCTGCTTGCTCCTTGCGCGCTCCGGACTCGGGCCGAACACTACATTTTTTCAGTCAATCCCGTCTAAGCAAGACTGAGTGTGCAACTGGAAATATACAAAAGTTAAACCCGGCACAAGTTTAAGGTAAATCATGTTATAAAACCTTTTTTTAGGGTATTAATTTTCCAGTAATTTATATAGCGCGTTCTTGAGGGACGTTAGCAACAGTCGCTGTCGATAGGGTTTAATTGAATGGGTCATTCTTAGCAGCCCAACAGTGAAACATTAATTAATTGCTTTATTCACAGATAACTGAAACGAAAGCAATTTGATCGAAAGAGCAAGTCGTTATAAGTAGGGACAACAGTTATTTCACTTTGTGGCTTTGAACGGTAAGCTAATTTTAAACGAGATGTTTTTTTAATTACTTGACCCGGTTCTAATGGCAACTGACCTTGCTTTCATTGATCGATAAACACGCCTTAGTCAAGTGAAGTAGGTCATAACAATGATCCCGCCTATAAAGCAGTACAGTTTGTTACACCTAGCGCGGAATTTTAGGAACCACCAGATATTTTAAACCATAGCCTAAACTACATTATATATGTAAATATTTGTCTCTAAATTTTCTCTCAGCAATGACCCTTCTCATCGGCATCGATTATAAAACTTTCACTTACACTGTAACTTGGGTAAACTGAAGAGAATACGGATTGAGTCGCTCATTTTTTCTCAAGCGCGTCGTCTCAATGAATTTCATAATAGCGGCCCAAGGAGAAATCCTTAATTTTAACCCTTAATTTAAGCTTGCCACCTATTTGTACGTTTTCCCGCGGAGATTATCATTTGTTATTCGCAGGTTGACTTATTATGAATTCATTACAAAATTGCGAGAATCAAAAAGGAGTTTATAAACTATATTAATTTTCAGCCCTTGTGTGACGTCACTGAATTTTTTATTTCTCCCCGTTATCGTTATTTTATTACTGATGTTTTCTTTTTTTTTTTTTTTACCATTTTCGGCTATTTTCTGATAAAATCGTTAAGGCTCCCACATATACTTTGCCTTTTGGTCTACTCTAGTATACGAGTGGAAAAACCTTCTACACGAACAAAATAAATTCATTATTTTATAAATGACAATGCTAAATAGATACAGAATATTATTCCTACTAAGCAATAGGCTACAATCAACTCATCTAACACCTTTTAAAGACCATACTTTATGCACATGGACAAACAGCACTGGCCACCATACCAGTAAGAACAATAATGCAACAACTTCCCAGGTCCTGGCGGCCCTTTTTCGAGGCAAGAAAGTGTAACAGGTACTGAACCGATTTGATTTAAATAATACTTCTTAGTCCTTTTGTAAATAATCTCACACCTGGACTGCTTTTTTAATTTGTGGCGAGAATTTATATGAAAAAAATATTATACACGCAAAAAGGCTTAGCCACGCGTACGTACGTGCCACTCAGCAAATTAATTTTGATCTCCTCCTCTTCTTCTTCTTCTTCTTCTTAGTCATCAACTTATGACAGAGATGTTTGGGTCCAAGGAGGATTTCGGTTGCCCGAAATATTCATCGGCAGACAGTTACATAGGAATTTTGTCTGCCTTCAACGGAGAAATTCAGCATTCGAAGCTTTCCCGCAACAGCGATTCATTGGTGAGTTTAATAAACCCGATACCGAGCCGCAATTTTTTTCATTTTGTTCATTCAGCGCTCTAATGTAAACACTATTGAATTTATACACGGGGATGACATTGTGCGACGATTAGAGATGTCAAATTGTGCCATTTTATATCCTTATCGCTCTTTGAAACTGCAAAACGAAACGTTTCCAAGAGGGGTCTTTGATCTGCTCGTGAAAGTAGGTGCTCAATTTTATTTCTAGTTTTAACTGGAAGTACTTAGGAAACTGAGGTCAAACAGTTAGTCATTAAATGGCCTCCGCTGAGCTCGGTGAAGAATGGTTACAGCACCTAAGCGTAAAGCTTATTCGAAGACGTGGCACTGACCACTCGCAAACCGATTTTCTTAAATCCGACCGACATTTTCAGAATCGCGAAAAATTAAGCCAAACTACCAGTGATTAATTAAAAGCTGATGATTAGGAAAATGTTGGCCAACACCAGCTATTAAGTTAACTTCTAAGCCACGTCAGTGAGGCGCTCATCAAACTAAATTGTTTTGACGACCTAAATTGAAATGTATCTTATATGGATTTTACGCCGCGAAGGATCCTATAGAAAGTTATTAATTTGATTGGACACGACTTGAGGTAAAATACACCTTAATATTTGGTATTTCCTTTCCCTGTGGCTTTTTTAATATCAGTTTCTGCCTGACAAACATAAGTGCTTCCGATGTTTACAAACGAAAATTATACTTTTTTTCAAAATTGTTGCATTTAATACGTACATTTCTCAGGTAACAATAAATTCGTCGCAAGTAATGTAACGCCAGAATTGTTAAATCCTTTTAGAATACGAATCTTTTGTTGGTGTATTGACAAACAACAGCTATATAGATTGTCAAAAGCATACTGAAAGGACCTTGACTAATCTTCATAGCTAAGAGATTAACATTTTTTGTCGCTGATTATCTGACAGGAAAAAACAAGACAAATAAAAGATCGTCTCATCAAAATAGATACACAGCTTAACTTTTCATTCTAATTGGAGCGTTCTGAGGCCACAAGTTTTAATAGGAAAGAAGTTTTCTTATCGCATGGGTGGCAGCTTTCATTATTATTAGCGCGTGAAAACAGTCGTAGATAAGGAAAGAGAGATATTACTAGATTAATTATCGCCAAGCTCTTGCATTTGTTATTCACAGCTGCGTTCGATCGTTGATTCTCTTCTTGTTTGACGATAGAACGTATAATACAGTTACGCTTTTTGAATTAATCGAACCTTAGGCGCAGTAAAAGGCCGAATTAATCGTAGTTTATGTCCGAACAGGTATCAAGTAAAGACAATCGCGAGTTTTTATGGCAACTTATTCTAAAAAAAAATAAAAGAAGAGGCGACTTGATTTTGTGTTTCTTTTATAAAAGCTAAGAAGTTGAAGATTAATAATACCGAAGGAACAACAGCAATCTCATTTTTGAGGGAAATAATCGAGATCTAGGCAAGACAATTCCTTTCAATTTTTTTTGTTTACAAGCTTTGAATGCATAACAAATAAAGATCCTACGGGAAGGTTGATTGGAAGACATTTCTTTATTAGTTCGGAAAAGAATTAATTGTAATCTCCAGAAAAACATTAATAAATGTGATGATTAATTTTACTGACGCGCCGAGTTTGGCGTCACGTGGTAGCAGTTAATTGGCGATAATTAATTACAATAAGAAATGAAATCGCCGTACTGACTAGTGCGCATGTCGTAATTGTCGATTTCAATGGAATGCCCCATCAAAGATGTGTCAGTCGATGTTTGAACTCCAACTGGTCGAGTTATGTCTTCGGAAATTTTGGCGGCCAATGCATATCACTTCCAGGAAATAGGCTTTTTATGAAACCCCCGCGATTATTTAAATTAAATTTCTGTTAAGCGGAGCGGTGCATCGATGGAAAAGGGGTCATCACTGCAACAACAGCGGAGCGTTGTAAGTCCGTGTTTTGTCGTCCACTGATTTGCATTTTCATTTGATAGCTAATCTATTGATTAATTAAAATGGAACGTATTTATGATCTCGTAGCCCGAGGTCGCGTTTCTTTCATTCAGCTCTTCCTGTGTTTGTAACGTTGTAAAATGCTCTTGCAGTCCGCCGATCGAGATGGGCTGCGGAGTACAGCAGACCGGGAGATCAGGCGGGAATCTTCATCTCCGCACACTTTCAAGCAGCACCGTTCATCCTTGTCAAGCGGATCCGTGGAAAGCCGGATGGCGGAGCTTGATGATATTCAACGGTCGATGGAAGTGGAGGAAACGGAGGAAGAAGGTTTTGAGGAGGACAGATTCAAGAGAGAGCACTACGACACCGATTCGGACAGTGTTTCCAGTGGGCGCGAGGGAGCTTCGTATACGCAACACTCGGCTCGCGTGCAGAGCCAACAACCCCCTTCACCAGTGGAACAGGCTTACATCAACAACAATGTCAGCGGGATAGACAACAGAATTCCTGCTCACGAATGGACTTTTGAAGAACAATTCAAGCAGGTAAGTCCAGATGTCGTACCAAATCTTAAATTATTTGATTTTCTAAATCAGATCAAGAAAGAAAAGCAATCGGTTTCGGGTTTGGGTACCGTCTTGAGGACCGTCATTAATCAACTTGCTTCGCACATACAAAGTGACGCGGCTCGAGCGAATATTAATAATTATTGTTCCAAACAAATTCAGCTTTCATGGTTTAATCGATTTATTCATTTTCGGGTTCTATTGAACTGAATTCGTTTTCTAGTATCGCATGACTTTCGAATAAAGCATCTTTCCAGTTCTTTATTGCTCGACTTTAATCTCTCAATTTCAAATCGCTCTTTAATTTAAACGAGTTATGAGTAGCGGTGCATATTTTGCCGGCGAATTTGACACGGCGATTTTATTTCATTGTCACATTTTGACATCGATCGTTTCAATTTTCTGTGTTTACAAGCCGCTCCCGAGGGCGATCTTTCCTGCTCCAGGCGACCAAAATAAATTCAGAGCTCAAAATAAATTGTAGTGAAGGCTGCAGGATTACACGGGTGTGTAGAAGTTATGATACTGGCCACGATAAAACGGTGATTTGGGAGTTTGACGCGCGAATATCGGGTTTATTGAATTAGTAGGTCATAGAATGTGTAGTTTTAATTAACCTATGATACAAATTTGCATACCAGGCTTATCACCTGGGTGAAATGAAATATTGTATTTGTCCTGAGAAATTGAAACGATGGGGATATTCACTGCAAACAGGAAAACTTGATAATTAAACCGCAAGTTTTTTTTTTTTACCGGACTAACAATCGATGACATTTCTTTTTTCATGGCTTGTGGCTATAGGTTAAGCAACAACTTGCTATTATCTATAGCCTAGAAAGATACATTTGAGCTACAAAACAATACTGCCTTCAATTAATATTTAATAATAGACTAGAGTTAATATAGGCCCTTGGCAATTGGGAACATAGATTACAGCTCTTTTTGGGTGGCAGGTTGATATACTACCACCTGTCATTCATGCAGCCTGTCATTTTATGCCTTAATGGATTTTTATACGTTCTTATTGGCTGCTTCATCGCTGGATAGATATCTACTAGTTTTGAAATCAACTACAAATTCTCTAAAGTTAGAAAAAGGAGAGAAGTCAACATACTGTTGTGGCTTGGTTTGTATGATCATCCATCCATCTTAAAACTGCTCAATGGCAGAAAATAATTTTCCACCACTTGAATCAATACTAATTTATCTGGTCTTGCATTTCCTTTTCCGTTTTTTGTCAAAGACTAATACATTATACCTCAATACGCCTCAACATTCTTTTTTTGTAATTAAAACTTTGAAGTTTCATGGACAACAAAGAAAGATTTAATGAAGTTAATATTCTTGCTGTTTATTCGTTGCAAGAATTTAGTATCCAGTGATATTTGAGCTACTCCTATATTCCTGCATTATTTTCTTTTCTACATAATCATTGACCTGGCTTAATAAGCTTTAATCTTCTTAGACGTTTGTAACAGGTTCACTGTATTAATTTTGTAATGTTCACTGCACATTTCTCACATAAAAGTTAAAGTTGTAAGAAAAATTCAAAGTAAGTTGCTTGACTTGTTGGTCTCTTAACTGACTCAAGTCCTTGTTCAGTGGTTCAGGTTGTATTATTTTTTCACAAAGGTTTTAATACAGTCTTTGTGTCATTTGATATTTTGTTTGGCTTACATCTTATTCCAGTGTCTTATTAATTTATCAAGCATGAAATGAGTGCAATACATAGAGAAACCTGTTTTTTAACAATTAAAAACTTGCATTTCACTAACATTTATCTTCGTTTTGGCCTGGGTTTATAATCAAATTGGGTGTAAAAAAGAATATCAGCAGTTACTAGAAATTATATGGCTTTTTAGTGTAATGATTATTAAATTGGCCATTCCTGTTGAAGGATAATATTCGCCGCTACAGTGTATGAACATAGCTTGGGAAACACAATAAGATCTATATCAGTGGCTGAAGTAGTAAATTAAGAATATTGTGATTAAATGTCCACAAAATCAGAAAACTGTATTGTTTTTGTGCTGTGGCTGCCAGAAATAACTAAGGTAGCACTTAAGTGCATAGAACCAATTTTTTATCCCTTAAAATACTGAATTCCAGTATAGATTAACTGCGACAGCATCACATTTAAGTAATAAATTGTTTTAAGTGTGAGCTATGCAGTAATCCCTCAAGGCGTTTATAATACTGACAAGTATTTACGATAAAGTACCATTTAATTTGGGTCAGAACAAGAGTAAAACTGGACTAGTCAGCAACTAAAAATGAAAGTTATTTTATGGGATTGTTTAGTTGTAATGCAGTATCAAGTTAAGAATGCTAAGAACTTCAATTGCATGTTAAAAATAGCCTTAAATTTGTACAAAGTATTAATTTTACAGTGTTATTGTCTGGATGATGTTTTTAATCAATTATGTCCCAGTGATTATCTTTTGACTTCCATTGTTACAATGCTTGAATATAAAAGACCCGTCTAAGCTAGATGAGATTAACAGTACACTAAAAACCAATTTTGAATATTTCTATGATCACTTGTGTGATTTCTGAAAACAATACCAAGGTCAAAGATTGATATGGAATTTCTATGTAAAGAATTCAAGGCTGCTCTATTGCAGCAAATTTGTTTTGATAATCACAGTAAACCCAGGTCAGCCGAAGAGTCTGTGTTGTCATAGCAGCATGTGTGACACTGTTTTGATGTGGAAACAAAGGAACATACCATAACAAGCAAGTAATAAAAAAGCCAACTTTTATTACGATTTACGTGTAAACTGTTTATCAACTATTTTGAAATATTAATCTCACTGTAGTTGATTGCAACTTTTCAGTAGGCCCAAACAAAAGGAGAACTATTATAACTATCGGTATTATTATTATAAATATTATTATTATTATTACTATAATTATTATTTTAAAATGAATTCACATAAATACAGAATTCATTGCTTATGCTGTGGTGCTGGAATTTTTCAAGCCTGTAAAAACAGTGTGGTGTGACAGCTACTTTGGTCATCATATTTATGTCTTTTTTATGTTGAAAGGAAGCCAAATAGATCCAATTAACACTCACATATGCCCTTGCAGAACAAAATGGTATGACATACCTTAGTGAATGAGCGAAAAATCAAAGCTTAAGACTGGATGTATTTGACATGCAAGTCAGCAACATTGTAAAGGACCTTCAATATTTTTTGGGGGGAATGTGACAATGCTGCAGTTCTCATGATATTAGAAAGTGTTCACTCATGTGTGGTCAACTGTAACACATTGCTCTGTTTCAGTGTGTACCCTGTGTAATTGATCATTTCAACAAAAATCCTGTTTGTTTTGTTTTTATACGATCAAACGTGACTATACCTGTGTGATTAAGTGCATAATGACATGCAAGCATGAGGAAGAATTTTACTGCATGTGTTTCATATTCAAGGGAATTAGTGGATCTCATTAACCTTTCAAGTAGAAGGGCAGAACAACTTGGGCAGCTAAAGATAGGCGGTCAAATATTTGTTTTTGGAAAGAGAGTTGAAGAGAACATGAAAACAGCCAAAAAATCGTGCCCTTAGCCTGCTGACTTAAATTAACGCTAATATAATGATGCCCTTGAAGTAATATACCAAAATCAAGAAAGAGCATTTTATTTAATTTCCAGATATTGAGAACTGGGTTTACAAAACAAGGTTCTGCTGCAGTTGTTTTAAACCATTTTGTCTTAATGCTGGACAAAAACTTGCAAAATACTCTTTTGAGTGCTTGAATAAACCCATGAACAAGCATATGGTGTAAATAGCGATAATAATAATGTCTTTTGTCCACCTTTGGAAGTATTTGTAACACAAAGGTTAAAAGGACTGGGCAAGTAACCGAAGCATGTAACTTAACTTTAACATATTAAATCAACTCCCTATAGCAGACACCGTAGGGACCTCAACTTAGGAAGAGTTTGTGATGGCGGGAATTTATTTCAGTCAAACTTCTGTATCTTATTTTTTTGCTGGGAAATTGGCTGCTCAGGTTGGTATTATCAGGGTGTCTATTACAGCGAGGTGTCCACAAGGCGAGACTTGACTCTACAGGGGATAAACATTCCAACTGGCAGGCAAAACTGTTGGCTTTTTTTGTATGACCATAGCTGAAGATTCGAAGTCCAGTATACTGAGAGACCAATAAATTTATTCAACTGGCAGTCAGAGCAGGTCACTGCTTAGCCATGTGCCCCAAACACAGCCAAAGGCATGTTCATTTTAAAGTGACTTACTAGTATTCAGCAAGCAAAGAAAGTCATGCCTGAAGCACAAGCTGTGAAACTGATTTTCCCTGCTTCATGAGTATTGGTCATTAAATTTAAAATCTGCTGAAAATCTGCACAATTCAAACAGCCTAATTGAGTTTAATTAGGCCAATTCTGGCCCTCTGTCTGTTATGCAGTACTATACTACAGGGACAGTATCGAATAATTGTCATATAAACATGCATATAATAGCAGTTTTGACTCCTAGCATCCGTGTTCATCCAGCAAAGCATAATTTGTTGTAAACTGACCTTAGTCTTGAATAAGGTGGATATTTCACAGTGGCCAGGACACTCTCGTGGCAAAAACTAAGGCATGGCCTTTGTTCACAGACTCTAAGTCTGAACTGCAATCACGTTGACAAGTCTTTTTTATTGACTTTATCTAGAAAGAGATTAATGCAATAAGAGAGATAAAAAGTAAGCCAGCTTACTCTGACGACAAGAATTTGCTTTAGTTTACGATACTATAGTAGTGCAGTGTCCAATATAGCATCGCTTCTGTACGACTTATAAGTTCAAACATAACTGCTGTTGTGTTTGGGCAGAATGTGTTGCACCATGGAATAATAATATTAACGTTACAGTGTTGTAAGCAAAGAATTGCAGCACATTGGTTTGCCAAAAGAGAAGATTGAGTGGGAAACTTAGAAGTGATTGAGCGATGGCAACAAAATCATATCAACTATTGTTACAGTGTATGAGTGACATCAATAGTTCTGACAGTTCTATGTGGCTTCTTTTGCAGTTGTACGAGTTAGGCAGTGAACCAGAACGGAAGGAATTTCTTGATGATTTGTTTACTTTTATGCAGAAAAGAGGTGAGTGAGTAAACGTGTTTTGATGATTTCATTTAAAAAGTGCTTAAAAATTGTTTTTGATCGGTCTTTCAATGCCTGTTAATGATACAAAATAACACACAGGCTTGCAACTTGGGAACATAACATACATGGTGTCATACAGCATTAAAATAATTACTTTTAAGAAGCTGTGCAGTGCCGAAAATGACATATTAGCTGTTATTTATTCTCTTGAAAATAATGTGAAACAACCAGGTATCTGAAAAGTTTCCAGTTATGTCAATCTTATTCTGATGTGGGTTTTTCTCGAATAAAAGTGACTGATAATAGCAAAATGTTTTACTGGCCGTCCTGCTCACAGTGTCCAAAACTTTAGCCCTGCCCTTCCCTCCCCCCAAAAATGGTTCTTGTTTACCTCACTCATGCCACGTCAATTCAAACTTTTGGCTTGGGCTTACGTTGTTTGTATATCCATTTCAGACTACATTTATGTGACGTTATGAAGGAGATTTCCTTTCTTCATTTACAAAATGTGCATTTGAATACTCATGAATAGGGTGAAATTTGGAAAAAACAGATCAGTCCACGTTCTGAAATAAGCTTTCTAAATAAACAAACAACCCAAGCTAAACTCCCGGTAACTGTCTATTCCATTTCGCTTTATCTTTAACCTCTTTTAGAAAGTTTGACTTTAGACTATCCTTTTGGAATTTCAACCGACGCTTCACAGAATTACTTGCCAGGAATGTTTCCTGAAATCACACATTGCTCTCTCAACTGGGTTGATTGTCGAATGAAAATGTAAGCAAAACACTAATTTACTCACCTGAAATGGTTTCTCAGACCTGTAGTCTGCTTTAGTAGTCTGTTAGTAACATCGTTAAGGCAATTTTCCAGGCTTAACGTTTCGTAACACTCGTAAAACGACGTAAACACTCTCTCGATTTCAGTAACTAAATTCAAAATGGTCGCTATCGTTCTTTCATCGAATTTCGCGCCCTTCTTGGGCATCCCGCCGCGAGAGCCTCAGCACCTGATTGGTTGATTTCTGTTATTAAAATCACGTGGATTGTCTGACACAATTGTTAAATTTTCGACTTTCTGTCTTTGATGTATTTTTTAAGGTACACCAGTTAATAGAGTGCCCATCATGGCAAAACAGACTTTGGATTTGTTTAAACTGTTCAGACTGGTTGTTGAAAAAGGAGGACTTGTTGAAGTAAGTTGATTATGAGTGTAGTCTTTGTATAATAGTCTTCTCTAGCCTGCCCATTTCACAGTTGACAACTTACTGGTCATTTTAAACGCCATGGTCGTCCTTCGTAATTTCAGGTTATCAACAAGAAGATTTGGCGAGAGATTATCAAAGGCCTAAGTCTCCCAGCTTCTGTAACAAGTGCTGCCTTTACTCTTCGCACTCAGTGAGTATGAGGGTGTAGTTTGTATCTTTTCCCGAAACCGTCGGAGAATTTCTTCGAAACCTTATAAAATAAAAATCATCCGTTGGCAAAATCAGTTTAAGTCAAATCAAGAAGGTAATAAATTATCCAACTCACCCGATACCAAGACTTTTGACTTAAAGTCCACAGGGAGACTTCCCCGGCTCCTTGTCTAAGTTGACCTATATTATACATTATGAAAACAAAAGGCGAGCGATTTATTTTTAGCCTTCCACCGCAGACTTTCACGCGTTAGTAAGTCAGAGGAGAAATGTATCAAAAGTCAATTCATCCTCTGTTGCTGAGAAAAATAATGAAATCGCAAATTGTTTATTCCCAAGGTATATGAAATATCTCTATCCTTATGAATGTTCCAAGAAGAAGCTATCTACCCCAGCCGAGCTTCAAGCAGCCATTGACGGCAACAGACGAGATAGCCGAAGATCATTCGGTTCATTCCTGTCGCAGACCGTGCCTTCAGATGGTGGACGCCCGTACAGCAGTCCGAGTCCCACTACCACTCCTCCCGCATTTACTACAAGCAGTTCGCCGGGAATATCTCGTCGATCGAGCCCGGGCCCTGGTAGCGCTGCTTCCTCATCAAACCATGAAGTAAGTTTATTTCAGGCGTTCAGATAGTATGGGCGTTGCAAAGAGAACTCTGTTTCTCATTTAATTTCGCACTGTTCCCCGGCTACCCGAAAGCCTTGAGTAGGTTGGGAGTGGTGTATCCAAAAGAGAAAGACCAAAAGAAGGCTGACTCAAGACACTGTTTATTCTCAGATACGTAAAAGTTACACATAATAATTATATACATTTCGATACCATACATCAGTTCAAGCATTGTTAATTTGTAACACGCGCTTAGTAATTGGTTGATTGAAAACTCAAGAGGTTTCAGGGACTGTTGATAACCAAGGAGCAATTTTCAATTGTAGATTTATGCTCGATGTAATTTTTAGCCTGCGAAGAAGCTCTCTGAGGGCTCCGGGGCTGGGGAGGAAAAGGGGATACGTGACTGCAAGCTCTCGTTTTCTCCTGTCCACCAACCCAAAGCCCTCAAGGGAGCTTGCTCGCAGACTATCTAATTATTATTGAGGGGCACGCAATGGATCTGTTCCTCAAAATATCTGTTCTTCAGGCACATTTTTGCTGGCTGGGAGATGTGGAAGAAATAATAGTCCTTGGAAGGAAAGTGTTGCTGGGAAAAAGATAATTCAGGGTGTGTTGGGAGTGAGGAACAGATAATTCTTTTCCAGCAATCTCCCAAAATGCTTAAAATAGTCTCAGAAAACTTTATTCACGCTTTGTTGTTGTTTTTAGGTCTTTTTCTCAAAATTTCCCGTTGGGTGCCCCCGATTATTCTTGCCCCTTTCGCGCTTAGGAAAAGAAACGACTGCTACGCAGGCCACAAAACCACAGTCTGCTTACAGTCTCTGTTCTTTTAAAGGTGCATGTACCTCCGTCGGTCCACGGCAACAACGGCGTTACGTTACTTCATTCTCCAGGCGTTGTCCAGTACAGCCCTAAACGTTCCTTAAGCGCGACCGATGTAGCATCGCGCGGAGTATCTTCACCGCCGTCAGATGTATCACCTTCTGGCTCACCAGTCAAGAAATTCGCTGCCAGTAACGAACACAATAATAAACGAACGCCGAACCAACTACCATGGACGCATATCAAGATACAAACTCAACCTAAAGGTAACAAGTTAAGGATTGCCAGCACTAAGTTGTCTATCGGGGAATCATAAAATTCGCAAATGACGTGGTTAGAAATGTGCTTATAGTAAAATATAGATTTAATCAGGGCTAAAAGCGAAGCCTCCGGGGCTGCCTCTGTCAGGGGAATGCCCGGGTGTCCCATGAGTATCAGACTGTTAAAGCAGTAAGATAGAATGCTTTCGAAAGACTAGAATCACGTTAACTTTGAAAGGGTATGGGGCAAAGAGAGGTCCAAAAAGCGCGAGCAGATAGTGAGGGGAGCCTGCGCAAAGGCTAGAAGAGTGCGGCATGACTCAAGTATTGCCTCAAAGCGTGGAAGAACATATTTCATGCGGGCTGAGCTCGCCATTAGTCTCTGCCAGCTAACTGCTGACAAGGGCACTCGTACAGAGTCTTAACTGTCATGCTTGTGATCTACGCTTGTGCCAAAGTAAACATTTCATCTTTCTCTGTGTTAGCCTGAGAAACTAGAGTTTCGCGGGGATACCAGTGGTCACGGTGAAGTCGCGGAATTTCGGATTTTTTCTCAGGCTATCTCAGAATTGAAGGTGTTTGAATATGTAGTTTGCTCAATCCAAGTACACTGTAACTAGCTCCCCTCCTCAGACTGTGAACCCTCTTGTCTTTTTCCTTCCAGGTATGGCTCAAAGCGGACAGTTTCAGTTTCCTGACATGGATCGGTCATCACGGAGCCGGGAGCAGAGGCAATTACCGCTGACCTTGCTGGATCAAGTGAGCGACAACTCATTACTGGTGTCTGTAGAACTCAATGGTGTTGTTTACCAAGGTGTCTTATTCGCAAGGCCAAATCGCCCAGATTCGCCAAAAAGTAACGAAGAATACTAAACAATTTATTTCTAGTCGCCTAATTAATGTAAGCCTAAGAATTTCGTCCACCCCCTGATGTACATTGCTTTTTGAATGCAATCTAAGTTGTGGTTCTTTTACGTGTACAGTTCCTTTTGAATCGTCACGCATCCCTTTGATCAGTCTTGTAACTGAGACGTCTCGCTTAATTACACTTATCAGTAACGATGGCGTAAGTTTTTTGCGTAAAAATTAGCTCAAATTTGCAATGCTTCTGACTGAATTTATAATCTTTGATACAGTCAAGTCCATTTACCGTAATCTCTCTAATTAGCCCTCCTCACTTTGAAAACCCCGTCACTATTGATCTCGCTTCCCCCTTGTTTTTTTTTTTTAACCAAGGCCCCATAATCAGTGATTACCACGCCGGATTTGGGCTGTTTGGGTACACAGTCAACTGGTGTAGACAAAATTCATTGAAAACGACAGTGCCTGAAATTATTATTTGCACAAACCCCAGAGGTTTAGGTTTGATGCTAGGCAACTGACTGATAAAACGAGTTTGGACCATTTTGCTCAGAAGGACGGCAATTGGCAAAGAATGCTACTTGTAAGCTTCCGGAATAAAATAAATTAAATAACTCCAGTTGAATTTAAGGGTCCCGTCTCCCCTAATAAGCCAACCCCTAAAAAATGTCTGTGAAAAATTAGCTGAGAGGGACGGGGGGTGGGGGGTGGGGAGGATTGTTAGAGACATTACGGTATTGTCTTATAAGCCTATACTGACTGTATACTAAACTTGCGTGCTTTGCAGAAAGCATTTGGTTTTTTTTTAACCCATACTCTTGCCAGTGAAGATTATATTCTACGAGAACCTTTCCTACTAAAGTGAATTCAAACTTGTCTATTTTTCGAAACAAATCGAATATCTTTTCTTGATTGTTTTTGAAAATGTTGTTGATTTTAGCTGTTAGCTACCCTGATATTTAAGTGTTTTGAGACAAAACGTGAGGTTGTAATATCTGGTTGAAGATATTTTGTCCGTGTTAATCATGGAATCTTAGATAACATTGATTTCTCACAAATCGGAAGAAAGTACGTCACATTTTGACCTATTTTATACTGCATCCTTAAAATAATGTTACGATTTGCCTTTTAACTGAATATAATATGTTTACCTAAACTGTAAATCGTTTATCCATAATATCGTAAATTCAATTCTCAGCCATTACAATTACTGTTATTAGAAAATCCATGCACTGACATACATATTTCTGTAAATACTGGAACATGTTACAATTCGGCTATAATATTTTCTTACCTGTTAAAAAAACTCCTTTGAAAAGTTTGCTATCATCTGGTTAAATGTTCTGTTAATATTTTTCCCCAAACGAAACAAAATATAAACGTAAGTATTTAAATAATTTTCTGCGTGTACAAACTTTAATCTTTTTTGTCCGAAGTGCGGGATTTTTTTTTTGCTCCTGATGTATATATTGGCAGAGGTTGGGCCTTTGGTCACTTTACTCAGTACCGTAGTTTTGTTGCCTAGACAAGGTAAAAAGAGACGCTGCCTTTAGGAAGGTTGCGATTACGTAGAGACTGTTCCAAGCGTTCAGAGAGTTGAGTGTGGGGCCAGAGCAGAGAGAGATAAAAAATAAGGAGGGAGAGAGGGGAGAATCAACGTTCCCTCGCTTTCACTCCCTACCCCACTCCTCGCTGTTTTTCCTGCTCACCTCTCTTTGAGCCATTCCCACAATCTAAACACCTGGGCCGGGTTGTTCAAAGCTGGGTTAAGATAACCCTGGGTTAGTGCGAAATTTGAATTCAGATATGAAAGCTTAAAAAGTAAATTCAGTTTAATTCTTTTTTTCAACAAGTTGATGATTGGATGCTTTTAAAAATAAAAGAAATTATCCGAAAAAAAGCTTTTGAACAGAAGAAAAAGAAACCCGGGTTTCATTTAACCCTGGGTTAAGCGCTAATCTACCTTCGAACAACTGGGCCCTGACGTACAACAATTTGTACGCAGCCTGTGTACAGAACCACCCTCCCCTCAAGAAAAATCGGAGAGGGACGGGGGGGGGGGTCTGTACAGAGGCTATTTATACGCACTGCTTGCCTTTTGAGGTAAATGTAGAGCTCTGAACGCCCCCGTCTTGTCCTTTAGTTGACCTAGTCTTCAAATAACAGTATACTCATTGGCACTGGTAGGTGTAGTCTTCCATCATACATGTAGTTAGAAGTTTTTCTTATTTTATCACTGAGAAACCATCCAACGATTTATCTTAGGCAACACTATGTAGGTTATATTAGTCAAAGTAGTGGGTTTTAATGGAAATGGAACCGAAGATCACCTGTTTGTTGGTTTGTTTGTTTTCATTTGAAATAACTGTTTTAAAAAATAAGATCTTGTAAGGTTGTCTGTCGTGTGTTACTCGGCAACAAACAGCTGAAAAAACATCACGCGGGTTCAGAAACCTATTGAAGACAACCGCTTTTCCCCTTAGTGTGATAGAAAGAGTTAACTGAATGAACAGACAGTCTTTAGGGTAAATATCGTGAAAATATTATTCAAGCCTTTTTTTATCGTACCCCAAAGGCTCCTCGTTTTGTTAATTTTAACGTTAAGCACTAATGCGGTGTTTTTTAATACATACTGAATGCATTGCTTTGTGAATATTTTTGTAACCGAGTCAAAATTATGTAAATGTCACTTCTACAAATAAATTCAACGTCTACGAAATTGTTCTGTATGTTGACGAGTCTAATTAGTAAAACAAAGTAGGTAACTTGCGATCAGGCGTTATTCTTCCCTTTTTGTTTGGGAGGCGAGGATCGCAAGTTACGTTGTAGCTGACTTGGAAATCCTTCACTTCTTCTTAAGAAAACCCTTGGCGAATCAGAATTGCTCGATATTTATAAGTTAACCTATGAGAAGAAGTCGTAAACACACAGAGGCTAGAGGCGAATCCTGGCGCAGAGAAAACGATAAAAAGATCACGAAATATCTCCCCATTTTCTCATTTTTCTCTGTTCACTTAGATAAGGGTTGTGAGTAGAATGGATACCCCGAAAACGGATTGCCAACATGAAAAAAGCCTTATGACTTAAAATAGTGAGTAAAAGAAGGAAGAAAACAAATTAAGTATGTAAGGCTTGAACCCGCAAAATTTGATTTTTAATCCAGATCAGTATTCATTGCACCAACAAGGGTAATTTTTAAGGTACTTTTAATACATGGCGTTGCTCATTACATGAAAGCCAACCCTTCTAATCACTATACTTCGGTGTTCAGCCTAACTCCGTACTCAATTATTTTCCCATTCTTTTTTCTAACACAACTGGCTCTCTGATTTTCACATTTTTCTGAAAAAAACAAAAAAAACAAAACAAAACAAAAGTGCTCAAAAACTGAATCTCTGCCAGTAGTCATGCGTTCAGTTTAATGATCATGTGATATCCTCCTGATTTCGGGGGCTATCCCGTTGACGCAGCGGATTTACGAAGGGCCATTCAGACCAATCAGTCCCAGAACTCGTTTTAATCGCCACTCAACCTTCGAAAGCAGCCGGAAGGGTAAAATCTTGTTAATGTTATCCAAATCAAACATTTTGTCAAACTTCTTGCATTGTGACCAAAACGATTTAAAAATTTTTGACTTTATTAATTGACCATATATTACGATAATCTATATGATGAAAAATAGCTATTAGATATCACTTGATTTACTCTTCACTTTTAAAAAACGTAGACTATTTTTGAGCCACACAATGTAAGGTGAGGCTTTCTTGTCAGCGAAAGAAAACTGNTCCCGTTGACGCAGCGGATTTACGAAGGGCCATTCAGACCAATCAGTCCCAGAACTCGTTTTAATCGCCACTCAACCTTCGAAAGCAGCCGGAAGGGTAAAATCTTGTTAATGTTATCCAAATCAAACATTTTGTCAAACTTCTTGCATTGTGACCAAAACGATTTAAAAATTTTTGACTTTATTAATTGACCATATATTACGATAATCTATATGATGAAAAATAGCTATTAGATATCACTTGATTTACTCTTCACTTTTAAAAAACGTAGACTATTTTTGAGCCACACAATGTAAGGTGAGGCTTTCTTGTCAGCGAAAGAAAACTGAGATGCGCTATTCTTTCAATTGATAAATCTCTTTTCCTTTATTCCCACAACTCATGCAGTATTTGTGACGACCCTTTCGTTAAGAGGGGAACTATCGTAAATAGTAAAGTTAATCAGCTTTAAATCCATTACAACAGGCTCTACGGGCAGTTCCCTCCAAGCGTGTCTCAACTTCCTCGGATAATAAAGGCTCTCCCATACATCTTTATAAGGTTTCCTCTCGCGAAGCCTTGCTAAATAAGCGTTTTTCCAAATTGGCGTTGATGCCTCATCTCTAGGTAATTTACTATTTGTTATAGAAATATCTTTTGTATGTTCATCAGAAACAACTCCACCTCCGCGCGTGGATGGCTTAGATGACCGTACGCGAGGACAAAAGTCGCTCGAGGGAGTCCTACTTAGGCTTCGAATGTAGCTCATTCGGCTTGAATAACCACTGTCGTGAGGAGGACTACTGATTAAGCTTTGTTTTCTTGAATAAGAGGCCGGCTTTTTGAAAATAAACTCTTCGTCTTCGCTCTCATGAAAAAGCTCGTCCTCACTTTCACTGTATTCAGCTTTCCTCAAACGAGAGGCAATTATTTGACTAAAAGAATCTTTGTCTCGTTCTAAGTAGCTCATCTGGCTGTCGCGGTGTTCCCTCACTGCCTCAGATCTTTGAGAAAGCTTCCAACAATCTTTGCACAGATTTGGACCCAGCAACTCGCAGAAATGCCGGCAGGTTGAGTTCGGGCTTCCATCGTGATCCCTTCGCTCGCACTGAATTCTATTACGCGAATATCCACGCGAGCTAGGAACTCGGCTGAAAATCTTCTTGGTGTATTTTAATAACCCTGATTCAATTTGAGGCAGTTTTTCAGACTTTTTTGTTTCTCTCTGAAATCGAGGATGATGAAACATCCATTCAGGGTCAAAGACCGGATCTTTCAAAGTAATCACGCGAAATTCGGCTGAAGACGTCGGTGCGTGAACTCCTCGTAGCTGCTTTAGTTCTTTTACTCGAGGGCTTCGTACCGTTACCATATTTCAGGGAATTTCTTTTTCTGTTGTTTTCAATGATTTCCTTACATCCTTAGAGTTCAATCCAAGGGTTTTCTTGAAATATTTCAAGGCTATTTGTCTGTAGCGATTGTCCAAGAACGCTCAAGTCACAACAAAACCACGCATGGCAACAGTTATCTTCAATCAATCATCGTGACACGGAACATGATCTGTGGTTTATAAATACAAAGAGACCGAGCGAGCGGAACATTGGTTCCTCTTGAACGACAAGGATGAACAAGACTGACAGATGTGAAACCGCAAAGCCGCTTGAAATCGTGGATACAGAGGTATGCTTGTATGTTTACTCAACCAGTTTGCAAACACGTCTAGTCTGGCGCGTCTAACCAATTTCTTTTTTCGAAGGCTTCTGATTACAAACTGAAGTCGACTTGGATTTCTTCAATAAAACCCCATGGTGTAATTAAGAAAAAAAAAAAAAATAGGACAAATTAAACAGGTACCCAGTCTCCTACGAGACAGGCAGAAACGAGCCTCTCGTGCAGAAGCAGGCCTGATGCGCAAGGTGACCGGCTGTTAACTCGCAAGTAGTGGACATGGGCTACCCCTATGGGCCACCCTAAAATGGACTAGTGGTTAGGAAAATGAGTGAGTCAGGTTCCATTTAGGGTCATTACACTGGGAAAACTGACCTGAAACTTGATTCACTCCGTTTTCTAACCCTAATCACCAAACTTCAGCAGAATAGTCCATGGGTTTAGCCCATCGACTGGGGGTCAGTGTTTTGTCCACCACCCGACTCGGTGGAGGTGTGAGAAACGCGAAAAGCCCCAAAGAGACGAATGCAAACCAAACTATTGCCAAATGTATTTATAAAAAAATTGACTAAAATGATTATAAGGATGAGGTGGATTAAAATTGATCAAATCTGTTTGTGAAACTACTCTTTAACCATTCAATACAAGAGTCTCAGCCAAACAATATAAACAAAACTGGCAAGGGACGCTGCGTGTGTTTTACTGAAACTAAAAAGAAGAATAATTGGACAAGGACCAGTTTACAACAAACTCCACACAACTATGGTGAAGTTGAACACGGGTGAAAACTTGATGAGGAAAGCCCCATTCTCCGCTAGTTTTTCCCCTTGTTTTCCCTGCACAAGGAAAATAAACATATAGGTAAGGGAAATAAAGATTACTGTTGTTGTTGTTGCATACAATTTAATTGCTTCCCAACGTCTGAACTCCACACTCCGAGTGCTTTCACCCCTGCCCCATACTTGCTTGTCATACCAATGTCAGTTATAATATGCACGTTTGTTGGTGTTTGTTGGTGTAGTGTGTTGCAGAAACCATTGTTGGTTCACTTGTGTGGTATAGGTATTGTTCATTGTCTTTCTAAAGGCTGGTTTTCACTAACGAAGGAGTTGGATTCAGAGTTGTAAGTGGAGTTGTAAGAGCACTTATGACCTAGTGAAAATCAAAAATCGGAGTCGTAAGTGGAGTCATAAGTGTGACGGAATCGGAGTCAGAAGAATCAGAGCGTTTCCATTTCTTACGACTCCGCTTACGACTCCGTCGCTTACGTTCCGTTTACGATCTAGTGAAAACCAGATTGTCAGAGTCGGAAGCAGAAGCAGAAGGATAAACCAATCACAAATCACGTTCCCACGCTTTGTGATTGGTTTGGTTCTTCTGCTTCTGCATCCGACTCCGACAATCTGTTTCTCACTAGATCATAAGCAGAACGTAAGCGACGGAGTCGTAAGCAGAATAGGAACGCTGTTTTCACTAGATCATACGCTCTACGCTTCTGATTACCACTCTGACTCCGACTCCGTCGCTAGTTATCTTTTGTATTGTGTCATTTGGAGATTGCACCAGGCCAACAATCTCCCATTTGTTGGGAGAACTTGGGAGATGTTGAAACCAGTCAGTAAATCAAACTTTAACCAAACACTTACATGCCACACACATAAAAACATAACACACTACACACTATTTATTTGTACAAGTTTATTAATATTGTGCAGAACAAATTGCAAGACACTTTTTAAGACCTCATTCCACTACCTCCTCCAGGGCGGAAACCCTGTGTGGCATTGATTGGCTGAGTTACTTGGAGGTTAGAAATATTACCAAAGTCCTGAAATCAAGAAGTAACAACACTTAAAAGCAATTCAAGTTTATATCCATTCAAGATCTAAATAACTCACTAAAACAGCAATACTCAGGATTAAGAATGTTAATGGCGGCAGCACGGCCAGAGTGGTTAGGGCACTGGGCCTGAGTTCAAGTCCCACCCTAACCACTAGCTGGATTTGTTCTCCACAGTCCTGAGTTCAAAATCCTAGGCCACGCTTCTGAAAAAGCCAACTGGCACCCTCCTACCAATTGGGATTCGTCACATGGATTTCCACAGTTGCATAATTTTTACGTGCATACCTGAGTAAACTGAATTTATGTTTGCAAATAAAAGAGAAGCAATGCATGAAAGATCGCATGTAAAAGTTTAAGTTGCACCAAAGTCGACTTCACATTTAAGCACAACACTTCATACCTTGTCTCTATTTTATTTGCGTGAGCAAAATTTACATGCGTGTACACGCATGCAAAAATTACGCGACAGTGGAAATCCACCCTTAACTTTGTTATGTTCCATTTGAATTATTTGTTTCATTATTGCTGAAAAGGCCCATTAGGGCCATTATTTTTGCTTCTAACTGAAGTGCTCATTTGAAGGAAGTGTTTATTTGAGGGCAATGTATGGCAATTTTGGATAGATAATGCACTGATGCACCCCTTAAAAAAATGGTCAGTAGAAGGACGTAAGGGCTAGCAATAGATGTCACTTTTGGAAAATTAAACTTCACTTAAGTAATTTTTGTAGAAAATGCACTAGACTTACCAAGACCTTCAACATTTCCTTAGTGTCTGGGTCAACCTCGATGATATCTTGCTCAATGGCAGACACCTGAATAACAAACAACCATTAAATGATAAATGTTACATGGCAACCAAAAACACCTGCCCTATTTTAAAAAGGATTATTTTTACAATGTACAGAGATAACTGGAACCGTGACAAAAGGAACAAGACAAAAAACTTAAAAGGCTTCAAAACGTTTAACAAACACACCATCGCACAAAACACAGCTTGCCAACTGCTCTTTAGGCATTTTGATTGACAAAAATCTCTTGTGGAAAATACACATTGACAATGCAGCCAATAAATTAAGTAAAACGGTTGGTTTAATCTCTAAATTGAGGCACTTAGTTCCTCAACATACCTTGCTAAATATATACCATGCTTTAATCTTGCCTTATTTATCCTAGGGTTTGATAGTTTGGGGACAGGTGTCAACATTTAACAAAAATCTTATTGCTTTAGAAAAAAGTTCTTCATTTCATATTTTTTACCATCAGGAATGTCCATGCCATTCCTCTTTTTATTGATTCAAATATAATGCCAATAGGCCATTTGCACTAAGAGGTCATGTGACATCATTAGTCGAGCTTGCTTTAGCAGAGCGAGACTCTAAAAATGCAGGCGTTTCTTTTTGTTCTTCTTCTGTAGTCCCAATTCATGCTTGTTACTGATTTTTACTACTATATTCATGAATTTTTTTCAAATGACCCCCCGGTAGTGTAGCCTGAAATTCATCCGATTGCTTCGAGTCGTTTTCTTCTCTCAACAACGTCTGAATCGACCGGCCATTAATGCCGTCCAGTGACGTCACTCACTACCCGAAAACCAGGTAGTGATTTTGATTGGTTGATTGTCTAAGCATTCGCATAATTATGTATAATTATGAAAAATTTTAGCGATATTGTCGCTTGATATTCAGCAGATCGCATCCCTGCAATTCTTTCACGTAGTTCAAACATTTCGATAAGCTTAATCTTCTAGGTATCTTAAACAGCAAAATTGCCCTTGTCTTCGAAACTGAAATGCTAAATTGAACTGCGAATGAAGAATCATTGCGAAGAGTCAGTAGGTTTTTCATTTGGAGCCGCTTTGTGGTTTTGGCCGCCGGTGATTTTGTTTACGCGAAGTTTTCTGAGATCAATATTATAATTCGACCTTCTTGCTATTTCTACTGTCAAGTGTAATGATTCTGTTAGCTTTTCTTTCTTGTTTCCCTGTTTTTTTCTTCGTTAAGAACCAAATAGCTTCTTTTCAATTTAAAGTAAATCATTGCGTTTTTTAACTAAGTGTTCCGTGTGTGTGTTTATTTCATTGGTGATTGCGACTGAGTTTGATTATAGAATTCAGTACAACCGGTTCAGAGTTGTACTGCATGCAGTTGATAGTTTGAACGTTAAACATGAACTACGATCGAAAAAAATAAAGCAATTCTGTATCATGCAGACATTTCCAAACGATATTTCTCGGTTTGCTACTTGAAAATCGTGTTTTACTTTTTGCATGAACTAAAGCAAAGGTCAAGGAGTAGTGACGTCACTGGGCAGCATTAACGGCCGGTCGATTCAGACGTTACTGAGGGAGTAATAACGACTCGAAGTAATCAGATGAAATTCAGGCTACCTGTAGTGCTTTCTTATCTAAAAATGACCCCTCAAAACCAATCAACATTTTGAAAATGACCCCCCAGCAAAATACACCCCTCTCCCCCCTTCAAGGATAATGAATTACCAGCCCCTTAAGCATTAAATTTGCACTCAGTTTACCAACCTCTGGAACATAGTTGTCCCTCCTTTCACGTTCTTCCTCCTGCAACTTAATGGAGATTCCACGCACAGGACCCTTCTGGATACGCTTCATCAGATGGGTCACAAACCTTGAGCAAAAATGTATAAATTAAAAAAAGTTTACTCCATAATAAACCACATAAAGCCTTAAAGGAAATTTGAAAATGTTGAAATGCCAAAGCCTTGGAGAATGCTGCATTGTGGTAAATATTTTAGAGTAACAATTCTACAACACAACAGGAAATTTGCTCAAAAACATAATACAGTTGAGTCTTGCATCCTTGCATTACAGACAACTATGTAAGGCAGACACTTGGGTCTGTCCCTTTAATTTAAAGAAGTTTAGGAAATCAAAATGCATTTGACATGTCAATTTTATTGACCTAGTAATCTGAGCTTAGTATTGTACTGTTTTTAGACTACAGCGGGGATCAACGTTGCGACCCGTGGGGTCGCCAATGTGACCAGCTTTTACTCAGTGGCGACCAAATTTTCTTGCCTTGTCGCCAACCTGGCCCCCAAGATGGGTGACTTTCCTCTTTGGGAAAAGGTACACTAATGATAATCTGTTATCTTTCACAAAACTAAACCCATTAATTCTTAAATATAATTTTTGGCGACCAGAATACTTGTTCTGGCGACAAAAAATGCAAACTTGGGGCCAGCTGGCCCCAATACTTTTTTCTGAAAGTCGAGCACTGTACTGTGCACCTACAATGCACTTGTGGCAATTTATCGCCGACTTTTAAAAGAGTTACATGTACTGAAGGAAAATTTTAATTAGTTTTTTTCAATTATTACTAAAATGTGAATGTGATGTATGGTCTATTTGTCATTACAGCCCTCAAGTCACGAGATTTGAGCCTGCCCTGGTAATACGGCCACCCCCTTAATAGCACCAATTTTTCTTACCCATTGGTGAGCATATTAACAGGGTTTGACTGTAGTATGAATTTTGTCCCCAACTACTTTCATTGGAAAACAGAAGAAAAATAGAACCAAAAGAAATCTCTAGCTGTTTGATTTTCCACTGACTTGTATTCACCTAGTCTGCTACACAGCCGTTTTTAGGGTCGTCACACAATGCTCCTCCCCACTAACGGCTGCTGAAAACCGAACTACATTCCTTTCCCGTGATTAGCCAATTATAATTCAGCTTCCATTTTCTGGAAGGTGTTCACGCCACATTTGCGGTACTGTAACTCCTCCAATCACAGCTTTGCTTTTATCGGTGCCCCATGTGTGAATAACAGAATAATCAAAATCGTCGCGTGAAAACAAGCAATTAACTACAGTAGTATCGTCGTAGTTGAGTCCTATTCAAAATTTAGGAGATAAGCAGCAGCAACAAGCAAGTTGAGCAAATTGCGATGTACAGCATGGATGTGCTCATAAAGTTGCCAGGTATAGTTTCGGGAAATCGCTCAACGATAATTTATAAGATTGCTTTTTGAATCAGTACCCTTGAGAGTTTAGACTTCACAGGAACACAATGAGCACATCCAGCAGATTAAATTCTTCATTACATATCAGTACATATGCACATTAAATGAAGAACCAACCGATCCTGGTAAAAGTCTTCTAGGCCTATCAAACCTTTTTTTCACTTGGATTTTTCTTGACCACTTATAACGAACTTTTTTGCAAATTAACCTTTTCGTTGCTCGAAAACACAGAGCCCGTCGAAATTCAGCGACGATTGATTGATTTGTCGTAAACTGAGAAGCGTGCTCGCATCCTAGCGCCCTGTGGCTCACGTATTGTCAAATTTCTTATACATGATTGGCTTGTTCGTTAGACCACAAACACAAAGGGAAAGGAATGTAGTTCGGTTTTCAGCAGCCGTTTGTGGGGAGGAGCGTTGCGTGACGACGCTAAAAACGGCTGTGTAGCAGACTAGTATTCACCCGGCAACTTGAAATCATATTGACAGCCCTAGACTGTTGACTGCAAATCCTCACATTCACTTCAACACAATTCAGCCAAAACATGACAATAAAAACATGTAAATAATTAGATACTATCGTACCCTGCAATTTTATTCTTTAGTTTCTTGCTTGGAATGATGGCTATGTCTTCACAGACTCGCTTGTTGGTGTGAAAGTCGAGAGTCAGCAAAGGGTAATACTTCTCGATGATGACCCTTGAGGCCTTTTTCACCGTCTTAGTTCTAACACGACCCTATAAATATCAAAAACAAACAGCTAAAATACAGAATTTTCAGATATTCTAAAAGTATAATTGTTAAAAAAGCACCACCAGTATATGTTTGATTTAAATAGAGAGTCTCCATGCAATCTCAGCTTAACTACAACTGAATTAAGATCACTACAACTTGCAAGCCATGATATAAACACAGAGACATTTCGCGACGCAAACAGCTGTATTTGAAACGCGTGTTGCTATTTTAAAACGGTAAATAAAGAAAACTAGGATAGCCATCATTTTTAGTTACTCAAAATCCGCAAATCCGCGACAGCAAAGAAGAAACACAGACTTAAATAACACAGCAACACAGCAATAACTTGAACGTGCACTGGAGTGGTTTATTACGAGCGATTATTTTTTTCTTTACTTGAAACATCGTACTCAAGAGTATTAGGAATAATAGATTATTTATTTATCTCTGTAAATGCAGTACACATGTATCGAAAGGGATAAATTTAAGACCGATGGCATCGGATTCTTATCAAAAATTATGAAACCCACCATCTTGAATCGAGGAGAAAGAGAGAGGACAATCCCGTGATCCTTTGCCAGTTCGACTCCTCGATAAACTGCTGCCCAAATTTTCTGTTACACGTGCGCGCGGGCTCTTTTATCTGCCAACGGACCAGGAAACTGGAAATTGAATATGGTCACATAAAGAAAAATCGAAGGTGGTGTTCTCACACACTACTCAACGTGAGATCGTATTAGCCTTGAAGCTAATATAATGCTATCAGGCATTACAGGAGGACCTGACTTGGGGGACCACATCTCAGTTGTAACTACTTTCCTGACCTGATGTCAGTCAGGATTTGATTGTGCGGTGTGATCGTTTATTACACCTTTGTTTTCAAATACTGATATAATCGCCAAAACATTTATTCTACGAGCGAATGTACAGGGCAACAAAGTAATCTAGGAGAGGGAAGGAAACGCCGAATTAAGCAAATTCCAGTTCAACCTCGTTCCCAGGGTTCTCTCCTACCCGTCCCTACGGATAGGAGAGAGAACCTGGGAACGAGGTTCATTCCAGTTATGTTATAATAATAGGCCACTACCGAGTCCCAAAAACCCTCACTTTCAAAATGAGGCCAAGCGCACAACCTTTCTTGTCCATTTCGAAGGTTGAGCACTTAACCTCGTTTTGATACATAGGCCAGGGGAATATTTATATTAAACACACAAAAACTCAAAGGAAATATTCTTTTATTGCAGAAATACAGTTTACTGATAGTTACCAATATAGAATATTTCAAACACAATCTTTGCATTGTATTTGATACTATATTACATATATCATATACTAAAGCAATTATTCTATTATTGCAATGTATACTACAATAGCAATCCTTACATTCCTCCCACAATTTTTCCATCAACTACGCCCGTGCTTGAGAAATAAAACAAATAAGTTATATAATATTGATAATATTGCCCGAGGACCAATTTGATACTTTTCTGATAATCATTTGTTGTGAACTGATGGATGGTTTTGTAAACATCAAAAGTAACAGAACTGTAAACTATTGCAACGACGATGCAAGTTACTTTTCTCTTGCTAAAAACACTCTTTTGAAAATCTCGTTTTGGCCACTACAAAGGCCACCGTTGTGCCATTGTAAATAAGATCCTAGAAATTTGCTTATCGTTTGCAACCTAACCTAGAATGTAGCTTCACACCAAAAGTACATGAGATTAAGTAAAAGACTGCCTCCTAGTCTGTGTAGCTGGCGGAATTCAGGGGCGGATTTTAGGAGGGGTGCACTCGTCTCTTGCTCTACTTCAACACCAATAAACCTCATAGTTTTTTTTTTGCAGAATACCAGTTGTATTAGTAAACCGCAGGTCATCTCAGGGGGGGGGGGGTTGCGCACCCCCTGCACCCTCCCCCTAGATCCGCCCCTGAAACAAGGCCGCGAAAAACGAGCCGGCTAGACAAGCTAACTGCCTCCAGGTTACCAAGGTTACAACTTAGAGGTTTCCTATGCGCCCTTAATCTCATCTCGTTGACGCAAGCTCCAGTAAATACATGCACAGTGTCGTCGACTGATACAAAAATCGACCTTTGCCATACAGCAAGATTATTGATTCTTTTTATATATTATAGATCCATTAATTTACTTTATTCAAACTTTTAACGTCTGGGGATCCGAAAAAATAACAATTTAAGATAGAAATCCTTGTGAACAGTCTTGATTGACGACTTAATAAAATATATGAAATTGTGTGATAATAAAAATGTCTGAAAGATCGGTCTCTTTTTTCATTTCAAAAAAAGCAAAAAATAGTTTCACGGTTTAGACGCCCTCCTCATCAAAAAGGCAATTCGTATTTCTTTAGACTTTTCGAGACCAAGTCAACGTCTTTCAACAAATAAGCATAAATATGTCGTTGACCTAACTAATATATCGTTGACAATCTTAATGTTTATGCTCTAAGGAGCCACCTCAAGTACTTGGAATTAAATACATGTGAAAGGTAAAACTCATACCCTAGTTTTATGTTTTAAGATCTTTAACATGAGATAAGTTATTTTACACAGATCTTTTGAACAGTTAGAGCCTTGACACGAAATTTGCAAAGATGCATGGCTTTCAGATAGCACTTGAGTATAAAGGCCTTAGGTGACCACAAGGCCCCGAACTTGTACTAACAGACTATCAGTCGATGACATATAGGCTCGATTACCAGCCTCTGTTCGCCAGAGGGAAATGAGCCCGCATTCACCCCCTTCACTTTGGGAAGGATCAAAGACCGGACCCGGGAGATGGCGGGAATCGAACCTACATGATATATTAACCCTTTTCAGCACTAATATTCAGATTCAAATTCTCCTAACTGATTTTCATACATTTAATTAAAGAATTAGTTGAGAGAATTTGACAAAAGATCACAGAATTTTCTCTATAAAATGGATATAATAAAATTCATTACGAGGTAGTTCTTGGTTGCTTGCTTGTTTTAGTGCTCGCTATCTATGTTTATCCTGGTTCTATGAAAAAAAACCATGGGTCTTTGTTGTCACGAGTGCTGTTACTCCCAAAGGGCAGCATAGTTACCATACAAGACAAGAGAGAGGGGTCCACCCGCTGCAAAGAGCTTGGTACCGGTAGGGTCATAACAGTGTGTGTAGACAGCATTACTGCAACACGCATGCGTGTGATCAAAAATGTAATCAAATTGTCCCAGGTCTCGCTATAAGATAAAAGTTAAGCATTAGAAACAGGATATGACTATTGCATAACTACTGCCAAACTCATGAAATAATGAACGAGACAAGCAGACAACAAACTATTATTACCATTGCCGTAGTTTTCTCGTTATTGATTGGCTTTTTACTTGCAAAACAATAGAATCCTACAAATATTTCGACTCTGATTTTTTTTTCTCTAAGCGTTTCAGTGAGTCAAGATTTTGTTACAGGATTTGAAGAATCAAATCAAATAACTGTAGAACTTTTTTCTCCCAATAAAATCCCTCGTTATAATTTCCATAGAACCCTAGGTAACGCGAAAGCAAAATTCTCTGTCTTATTTCCTTTTTTTGCCAAGAAATACAATTTTCCCCTGACTTTTTGCAAAACTCCCTGACTTTGGAAAAAATAATTTCTTGCTTTTCCCCTGGCAGTCTTGAAAAGGTTATTTCAGTTCAGCCTCCCAAGTGCTACTAACCTTTCCTTTTAAATTCAACTAAATATAAGTGTGACTCTAATCAAAATACAGTGCCAATGCAACATGGGGCCAAAGGTCAGGATAGGCCCCCTTGCATGTCAAATAACTATTATCTTGCATCCCAATTTGATCAAGAGTTCCACTCAAAGTTCTTAAAATGGAGAGATCTGTATAATTTCTTACCAGCCAGCCTTTTCCTGATCTATAGCATAACATTTGATCGGTGTTCCTGTGTGCCAAGAAGCTACAAGTTCTCATGTCAAAGAAAAACAGGGAACCTAGCCCAGTGCCAACAGTCAGCAGCAGGTCTCGGAAACTCAGTGAGCGTACCCCTATATATTGAAATGACATCTGTGAGCTACATGTACACATACAACAACCAATATTTCAGTATTAGCAGCAATGTTGCTCTTGAAAAACATGTCAAGTTCACTGGCATTTTATGACAAAGAAGTGCTCTGTGAAATGCACAAAATAATAATGTGCAGAAGACATTACTTTGAGAATGAAATATTACGCCTGAATTGAGTAAAATTAGTAGAGAGGTGGGTAGGGGAAGACCTTCTCCCACCTTCAGTCTTGAGCTTAAATCTCATAGGTAGTGTGGTTTTTAAGTCCTAGCATAGAACCTCTAATTCTTGCCAACAGGCTGAAATGATTCTTTCAAATAATGGTAGAGCCATGAAAGAGAGGTTTTATACCAAATTTTTCTTTGGAGGTTCTTTATCTGTTGTTTATCATAGTTGGGTAGCCTGCATAACAACAAGGCTATCACTGAGATGTCAAGTTGCATGACCCCCATGTACTATCAGAGAAAACAAGGCAATTAGAGCCAAAAGAACTACTTCCTAGCTTTATATGTCCTCACCTACTAATTGCATATGTTGTGGTTCAAGTTTATCCTTGGTTTCCCTTTGTTTTAAACTCATTATCATACACTACCATGCCATAAAAAAAGGAAATAAAATTCAAACCAAAGAAATTGAACCACAACATATACAATTAGTAGGTGGATATTTAAACAGCTAAGAAGTTCTCTTGGCTCTAATTGCCTTTTTTTCTCTGATAGTACATGGGGGTCATGCTTAAAGTAGCAAAGGGAAGTCCCCAGCAGCCCCCAGCCATTAGTGATAGCCCTGGTAACAGTAAAAAATAACACTTATTATGCAGGCTACTTAGTGGATTTTTGTTGTGAATTGTAATGATGACAATAAATGGCAAATTTAGGGTTAGCCTGTTCACAGACCCTCTATTTTAACTTCAAAGTCCGCCGAGTGCGGGTCATAAAATATAAACTGCAGG